CTTCTTTCAGTTTTCATGTTCTGTTGACATTTGTATTCGAGACAGACTATGTCCTTTATTTCAAACTCTTATTTGTAGTAATCCTAGATAGTCCGTGTATTGTTGTGACACCAGGTGCTGGGTAGAGACTTGTATTGGCTTTCTAGATGCTGTTTCTATATTTAGTTCAGACTTCCGCTAAATTTTACTTTCCACTGTCTTTTAACTGCTTATTCATTGATAATTTAATTGTAAATCATGTATAAAACGAGATAGGCTGATGTTTGCAAAGGTTCTTGGTTTGCCTAGCTTCCACGAGTAGGCGCCATCACGACTTCCGAGGGTGGGAAATTCGGGTCGTGACAAGATTGGTATTTGGTAGGACTCTGCTCATGATCCAAATATAGTTATTTCAAATTATGCAGAACCGTGTTATCTTGATGAACCAGGTTCTTCACTGATAATTCTCTTGTGTGAGTCTAAATTTGCCAAAATAGAGAAAATATCATTAGTGATTAATGAGTCATTTTAACACATGGCACAAGAGTATACTATGGAAAGTATGAGACTAAGCAAGATTTAATCTAACTATACAATTTACTGACTTCCTAACCAAAATTTGTTTTTCAAATTTTTTTTTTTAATTTTTTTTCGTTTAACCTTGAACTGGTCCTTTTAGGTGATCTTAATCATCCCTAATTCCAACTTGTTCCTCTCAAAGTGATCTCTACTTAAGGCTTTTGTGAAGATGTCAGCAATTTGCTTGTCAGTAGCACAAAACTCCACAGTGATCAAGCCTTTCTCATAGTTGTCCCTAAAAAAAATAGTGTCTAACATCTGTGTGCTTAGTTCTCTTATGATGAACCGGATTCTTAGTCATCCTAATAGCACTAGTGTTATAACAGAAAATAGGATTGCAACCAACTTCAATGCCAAAATCTATCAGCTGATGTTTGATCCATAGCAATTGAGCACAATCATGAAGCAGCAGCAACATACTCAGCATCAGCAGTAGATAAGGGCACTGAATTTTTCTTTTTAGTATCCCATGACACAAGACATGAACAAGGAAGTGTGCCATACCTGAGGTGCTCTTCCTATCCACTAGGAAACTTGCATAATCAGCGTTAGCATATCCCACTACGTTAAAATTACTACCTTTTGGATACCAAAGGCAAAGGTCAGTGGTGCCTTTCAAGTATCTCAATATTCTCTTTACATTAGTCAAGTGGGACTCCTTTGAATTTGCCTGAAATCGAGCACAAAGACCTACACTGCACACAATGTTAGGTCTGCTAGTAGTGAGATATAAAAGAGAACCAATCATTCCCCTATACAACATCTGATCAACAGATGAACCAGGTTCATTTATATCCAATTTCGTGGATGTTGCAATAGGAGTTTCAATTTCTTTGGATGTTCCTTCCTGGTTTTGTTACTGAGGAATAGGTTCATGGACAGGTTCCCTCGAGGTTAGAGGACCAGTTCCTCTCTAGTCAGTTCCCCCTGTCATGTTGCCCTGGGTGGAGGGACCTGTTCCATCACCTGTTCCTTCTAGTGATGCATCTTCAGGCTGGACTGTGGTTTCACCATTTGAATTTCTTATCAGCCCAATCTCTTCATTATCATGTTCCTGCTTCCCCGTTGCACAAGCCTCACAAACTTTGTCTTCCTTGAACTTGATGTTAGGCAGCCCTATCACCAGATCCTTGGAGACTAATTTGTTGTGTTGACTCGGACTTGCATGTCCAAGTCTCTTGTGCCAAAGGAGGGGATCATTGTCCAACCCACTTAAGCAAGTGAGTTCATTTTCTGAAAGTGTGGACAAATCTACAATATATGTATTGTTTACTCTTTTTCCCTACAAAACAATCTTGTCAGTGGTAAGATTAATCACAAAACATTTGGTAGAGGTGAATGCTACCAAGTTACCTCTATCACATAATTGTGATACACTGATTAGTCTGTACTTTAGGCCATCTATCAAGTAGACATTCTCAATAGAGTGAGAATCAGTCTTACCTTCCTTTCCAACCCCAATGATCTCACCTTTCTTCCCATTTCCAAAGGAGACATTACCTCCTTTGAGGTCCTCAAGTGAAAGGAACTGGTTCTTGCTTCCTGTCATATGCTTTGAACAGCCACTATCCATGTACCATATTTGGCTGCTCCCCTTCACTTGGACCCGCAGAAGGAAATCAGGGGTTAGTCTTAGGAACCCAAACTAGTTTGGGTCCCTTTCTATAGGCAAAATGGTGAATCAGATTCTTTTTAGCCCAACCTGGCAGCCTATTTTTCCCTTGAACAAATTCTTTATTCTTTTGACTAGCCTTTTCTTTTGCAATACATTCACTTTTATAATGACCAGTTTTACCACAGTGTGTGTAAATTATGTTCTCAGGAAGCGTGAGGTACTTGCTTTTGGGATCCCACTTTGGTGCAGGGGTCCTGTAGCCAAGTCCTCTCTTATTGCTACTATGGTGTTCATGTAGCCATGAAAGTGCATCGGAGGACCTATTCCATTTACAGGTTCTGTCTAGCTCGTGCTTAACCTTGTTTAGATCCTCTTTAAGGACTCTTATCTACTCATCTCTTTTGTACAACTCATCTTTCATTTTTCCTAGGTTTTCTTCTAATGTGAGTTGTGTGTGATCAACTTTCTTTTTACATGTCCCTAATTTCAATTTTAGATTTTCATATCTTAGCTCTAGGACAGTGGTGTCAAGTTCATGAACCTGGTTCTTTAACTCAGCATTTTTACTATCACTTTCACTAGCCCTAAGTTCCAAATTTTTGCACTTAGCTTTCAAAATCACACACTCCTTAGACAGCTGTTTGTTTTCATTGTTTAGATCCTCAGATTCATCAATGAAATCCAGGAGTAACTCAGATAGCCTTTCTTTAGACAAAAATTTAATCTTATCTTTGAGATGGATTATACTTACCTCTGATTCCTCATCGGATTCTCCAATTGCCATAAGTGCTTGTTCATCTCCATCTTCATCCTGTGAGTCCTCATCTGAGCTTTCTCCCCAGGCAGCAACCATAGCCTTTGTTGATCCTTTGTTCTTCTTAGGTTGAACCTGTTCCTTCTTCCTGTTCCTTCGTTCAGCTCTTTTCTTCTTCCATTCAATTTCCCATTGAGTGAAGTTTTTGATGTGCTGATCAGTCTTCTCACACTTGTAACACCCCTCATTGGTTTGTTTTTCAGGAACCCTTGGTTTGCTGTAGCTTCCACTTCTTGAAGGACCCTTTCCTCTCATTAGGTACTTCTTGAAGTCCTTTGTGATCATGGTCATTTCATCCTCCTCTAGATCAGCACCTTCAGTGATTCTGAATGCCATGCTCCTTTCCTTCTTGGGTGCATCCATCTTCATGGTTTGCCTTCTAAGTTCATAGGCAGTGAGATTTCCAATTAGCTCATCCAACTTAAGAGTGGCAATGTTCTTTGATTCCTGAATAGCTGTGATTTTGCTTTCCCAAGAGATTGGCAGTACCCTTGTCAAAATCTTCTCAACTTTGTCTTCTTCAAGAATAACCCTTCCAAGAGACTTAAGTTCATTTGTCAGTGTGGTGAACCTTGTATACATCTCTTGGATGGTTTCCCCTTCCTTCATGGTGAAATTCTCATATTGAGAATACAGCAGTGTTCCTCTGGACCTCTTCACTTGAGGTGTTCCTTCATGTGCAACTTGCAAAGTATCCCAGATTTCCTTAGCAGTGGTACAACTTTGAATTCTACTGTACTCATCTGGACCAAGTCCACACACAAGCCATTTCTTGGCCTTAGCATTTTTCTCCCATTTTCTTAAATCCTCAGTAGTGCAGTCAGCTCTAGTTTTTGGCACATCCACTCCTTCAGCATTCTTCTTTGTAGTTGCTAGAGGACCATCAGTGACTATGTCCCAGAGTTCATAGTCTTCTCCTATGATGTGATCCCTCATCCTGTTCTTCCACCAAGAATAGTACTGACCATTGAAAAGTGGAGGCCTAACAGTGGATTGCCCTTCCCAGTTCCCAGGTGGTGCACTCATGTTGATCTTTTCCTAAGGTGTTAGCCTCTTCAAGGATAACCTGCTCTGATACCAATTGATGTTCTAAACGTCAATACCACACAAGAGGGGGGGTGATTTGTGTGGTACTCAATTTTTCGCTTAAACTGCTTCTGGAAGGACCTGGTTCTTCTAGGTGTACTTATTACTACTGTTTGCGGAATTAAAAGTACATAAAATAAAGAACACAGAGATTTTTACGTGGAAAACACCTGGCTCAAAAGGTGAAAAAACCACGACCTACTACTCAGTAGGATTTTCCCAAACTTCCACTAAAATCACTAAGCCAAAACAGCATTTACAAAACTCTTTGTAAACCTAAGGATTAACTCTAATCCCGTTGTAGCAACCAGCCTCTAACTGCTGCGACAACTTCAAGTTAACTCTAACTTGAATACTCAAAATACCTATTACAATTGCTTCTAGATAAAGCTGAAAGGTACAATATAAAACACCTACTACAATTGAACTAGAAATAAAGAAAGACACATAAAACTCTTTATGGAGCTGGTTCTTCAATCTGGTTCATGTAGCTTCAGGTTTGCACACTTGAATCACACACGAACTGCTTGCAAAAAGCCTTGCTATTTTGCTCCCAATTCATGTTTAACTTCTGCGTTTTTGTGCAACGCTATAATGTGAGAACATCTTGCAATTTATAGAGTTAGTAGATGAAGAAATAACTAGAGTTCTGATGCAACTCTTCCTTGGTGGAAGAGTTCTAGTTGATTTCAACTTCTAACTCCTTCCCTGTCATGGATAGTGTTCTCTTTGAGTAAGGAGTCCTTCTCTTTATCAATTATGCAACCTTTTCGATCAGGAGATATTAAATACACCAAGTTAAGCTTATCTCCTTCATGTGCATCCCACATGCTTGAATCTGCCCGTTTTTGTGCACCTGAGGGATGGACCTGGTTCATGTCTGAGTTCCTTTGTCAGTCTTCAAAACTAACCTTTACTTGGGCCAACAGGATCACTAGGATCTATTCCAAAATTAGCGACAGTTTTGACATTTGCAGTAACATCAGTTGCATCGCCTTGATCGGTAACAACCATATCGAATTTGAAGAGATATATAGTAAAATTGAAGATGAGAAACCAATAACCTAGATCGAGGGTGAAATGAGACACTTACACTGTATGAATTGAATGATATTAGGGCACAATCGAGAAATCTTCTCAGACTAAGAGACGACTGAGACGATTGGATCGAAGGTCTCTATGCTATGATACCATGTCAATTTACACCATGAGTGAGTGATTCGTGTCTTGACTAAGCTCCATTGAAGAATTTTAGAAGCTTCACGTGAGAGAGGGGAAGTCTGGTTTCAGAAATGAGAGAATGAATTGTGTATTAGCATTGCTATGTAACAGCGTATATATACACGAGTACCAGACAAGATCAACTAACTCTAACTATCAGCTAATTGACAGCTAAGCTAAGCCACTAACTAACTAACTAACTAACTGTAACTAACTGTACAACACGTAAAGCTAAAAGTACAAGACAATAAAAGCTAGACATAGAAGAATATAACATAAATACAACTCAATAGATATAATAACATTTTAAACTTAGCACTACAAAAAGGCGAAGAGATTAGGTCGGATAATAATCCTCGGTTAGAATATATCAATAGATAAGAATTATAGAAGTATGAAAGTTAAATTTTGATGACTTGTGTCAATTATCATAATCTATTTTTTAGCGTGTATGATGACCCGGCCGATCGTCTTAAGAATTAACGCCCTGATCCCCTATTAACTGCATTCCCTGAGTATATTTCTGCTATTTTAATTTGCCGGGATGTTCGGTTTTAATTTTTGGTGAGCTTTGGGACACTTAGCCCCTAAATGAGAGCTTAAGTGTTGAAAAGTTGACTGTAGTTGGAATAGTGTGATGATGGCCTCGGAATGGAAATCTGATGGTTCCGTTAGCTCCGTTGGGTGATTTCGGACCTAGGGGCATGTTCGGATTGTGTTTTGGAGGTCCGTAACTAATTTAGGCTTGAAATGCCGAAAGTTGAATTTTTGAAGATTCCGGTTCAATAATGAGATTTTGATCTGAGGGTCGGAATGCAATTTCGGAAGTTCAAGTAGCTTTCTAGTGTTGAATGTGACGTGTGTGTAAAATTTCAGGTCATTCAGACGAGGTTTGATAGACTTTTTGATCAAAAGCATGTTTTTAGAGTTTTTGGAATTCTTAGGCTTGAATCCGATGAAAAATAGGTGTTTTGATGTTGTTTTGAGCGTTCCGAAGGTTGGAGCAAGTTTGAATGATGTTATGGGATATGTTGGTAAGTTTGGTTGAGGTCCCGGGGTCCTCGGGTGTGTTTCGGATACTCAACGGACCATTTTTGGACTTGGAAAGATTGCAGATTTTTCTGCTGTTGTGTTGCAGAGAAAACATTCATCGCGTTCGGGAGAGGGTCTCGCGTTCGCGTCGAGCATCTGGGTGAAGCAGCTAATTTGTGCTTCGCATTTGCGATGATGTCCCGCGCTCGCGAAGGTAAGGACCCGTTGGTCTTCGCGTTCGCGACATGGTCCTCGCATTCACGTAGGGTCTGCCAGTGTAAGCTACGCGTTCACGAGTGGACCTCGCATTCGCAAAAGAGGAAATTGGCCTGTAGGATCTTTGTGCATCGCGTTCGCGAGTTACCCGGCGCGTTCGCGTAGGTTAGTGAAGCTGAGGCATCGCGTTCGCGATGGTGTGATCGCGTTCGCGAAGGAAAGTTTTGGTCAATGGAATTTTCGTGCTTCACGAACGCGAGGCTTTGACCGCGTTCGCGAAGAAGGATTTAAATGCCTGGGCAGAATGATTTAAAAGGACTATTCCGCGATTTTTAGCCTAAGTTCCTCCATTTTTAGGCGATTTTGAAGCTTTTTGAAGAGGGATTCAAGGAGAATCACTTGGAGGTAACATTCTTGACTTTATAACTCGTTTTTATGTAACTAAAGACCTAATTAGTGGTGGAAAATTTGGGAAAAATGGGTAATTAGGGCTTGAGATTAAGAGACCTTAAAAGGGGTATTTGAGGGGTCAATTGAACTCCGATTTCGGTGTTCTTGTTATGCATAGACTCGTGAGAGTGTGAGGATTCTGAAAATATAAATTTTACCCGATTCCGAGACGTGGGCCCGAGGGGCGTTTTGGTTATTTTACCTACTTTCGTGTATTAGCTTAGAATTAAATTGTAGAATCAGTTACTTGAAGTGTTATTTACAATATGCAATTGAATTGAATAGATATGGTCCATTTGGAGTCGAGTACTCGTGGCAAAGACGTGGTATTGGGTTGATTTTGAGCTGGTTCGAGGTAACTGGCTTGGCTAACCTTGTGTGGGAGACCTTCCCCTTAGGATTTGGTATATTTGGTAATTGAAATGCCTTGTACGTGAAGTGACGAGTGTGTACTTGTGCTAATTGTTGGAAATTCGATTTTCATTAAGTAATTACTAGTATGTTCCTTTCCTATTTTTATTACCCGCTTTATTAAGCCTGTTTCTAGCTTAGGAAAAGCATGTCTAAGTGATTTAATTGCTTCATTAGCTCAAGCTGCCTTACCTGCATTCTGTGCAGCATGCTAGGCTAGGATTACTTGTTTGCCTTAATATGGAATTTGCCATTTCTGAATATTTTCCTGTTGCTGCTGTGAATTTACTTTGGGACTACGGATGTGGGATTCCGGTAGATCCCCCTTGTCTGTTTATTTGCGACTATGGATGTAGGATTCCGGTAGATCCCTCTTGTCTGTTTATTTGGGACTACGGATGTGGGATTCCGGTAGATCCCCCTTCACAGTTATATGGAACTACAGGACTGCACCCGGTAGATTCCCCCAGTACTGGGTATTTATATTTAGGGACTACGGATCGGGATTCAGGTAGATTCCCGTGCACTGATAGTTGGACTACGGGACGGTATCCCGAGAGATCCTTCGGATATATATGAGGGACTATGAGACGGTATCCCGGGAGATCCACTAGATAGTTGTAATTGGGACTACAGGACGGTATCCTGGAAGATGCCTCGTTGTTATCTCTGTGTTGAGCTGTATTTCTTTCCTGTGATTTATTGTCTCTGTTCTAGTTGTTGATGTTCTTTCAATCCTATGTTATTTCTTACTGTTGCAATTATTTATACTATTTTATTCCATACTGTTAACCCTTATATCTTATTTAATCTCAGTAGGGCCCTGACCTTCCTCGTCACTACTCGACCGAGGTTAGGCTTGGCACTTACTGAGTACCGCTGTGGTGTGCTCATGCCCTTTCTGCGCATGTTTTTCATGTGCAGATCCATGTACTTCGACTCAGTCCTATCACCTTTGAGGCGAGGCGACTGCTCTAGCGACTTCGAGGTATATCTGCCGCGTCCGCAGACCGAGGAGTCCCTTTCTATTCTTGCTTTTCAGTATTAGCCCTTCTGTATTTCTGTTCCTTGTTAGACATTCTGGAGTTAGAGCTATGTAGTAACCTTAGCTTGTGATTCGTGGGTTTCCAAGTCTTGGATTTATGTAATGGTTTGAGAGTTAAATATTGTGTATGCCGAGCGGCACATTTAAACGTTGTTTATTACTTATTTCTATTTTAAATTGTTTTACTTCCGCAAATTTAGTTTTCTTCCGCAATTTAGGCTTACCTAGTCGTAGAGACTAGGTGCCGTCATGATGGTTCACGGAGGGTGAACCCGGGTCGTGACAAGTTGGTATCAGAGCTTTAGGTTCATAAGAGTCATGAATCACAAGCCGGTTTATTAGAGTCTCGCAGATCGGTACGGAGACGTCTGTACTTATCTACGAGAGGCTATGTAACCGTTAGGAAAATTCCACTTCATTTGATTTCCCTGTCGTGCAAAATTTTGATATCACAATCCTAAACCTCTGTCTTCCATTCTCTCACAGATGGTGAGTACACGTGCTACCCGAGATGATCAGGCACCCGCGCCCCCTACTGCAGCCGTCAGAGGCCGGGGTCAGGGTAGAGGCCGAGGACGCGCCCGTGGTGTTGCCAGAGCACCCACGCGATCTGCCACGGAGGGGCCACCAACAGCTCCAGCCGAAGTCCAGGCACTTGATACGCCTACTGCTACTACTACTCCAGCACTTCAGGAGACCTTAGCGCAGTTCCTGAGCATGTTTGGTACATTAGTTCAGGCGGGGTTGATTCAGGTTGTACCAACTACTTCACAGATCGGGGGAGGGACCCAAGCTCCCGCCTCCCCCACTCCAGAGCAGCAAGTTCTCATTAGTCGAGTTCCAGATGTCATAGCAACACAGCCTGTGGTCCTAGTTCAGCCGGTGGTGAGGACCTCTCGCTGGGCAGAGGACAGACGAGGTAAGGAAAGAGAGTATAGGGAAGTGAGGAGACCTCGTAGACTGTAGAGATGCACTGGTCCTTATTTTGGGGGAAGAGTACGGCATGGTAGAGGTTTTGTGGGTTAGCCAGCTCAATTTGCGTCTCAGACTTCACTCAGTGTTTCAGGGGTTCAGGGGTCTCAGAGTACCCGTGCCGCACAGTTTCCACTGCCACGTCAGCCGCGAGGTTGCTTTGAGTGTGGTGACATACGCCATCTGGTGAGGTATTTCCCTAGACTTGGGAGAAGTGCACCTCCACAGACTTCTCAGCCACATCGTGCCCCGCAGAGTCCTCAGGCTATGGTTACAGCTCTAGTTGCCACCCTACCTGCTCAGCCAGTTAGAGGTGGAGGTCGGGGAGGTAGAGGTCGCCCTAGAGGGGGAGGCCAGGCCAGATACTATGCCCTTCCTGCCCGTACCGAGGCTGTTGCCTCTGATTCTGTCATCACAAGTATTATACTGGTTTGTCACAGAGATGCATCGGTTCTATTTGATCCAGGCTCCACTTATTCTTATGTGTCTTCTTATTTTGCTCCGCATTTGGGTGTATCTCGGGATTCTTCGGGTTTCCCCGTTTATGTGTCTACTCCTGTGAGAGATGCTCTTGTTGTGGACCGCGTTTATCGGTCGTGTTTGGTTACTCTCTGTGGTTTTGAGACCAAAGCCGATTTATTGTTGCTCAGCATGGTAGATTTTGACA